TATTTCTAAAAGGAAAGACTTAGGAATGACAGGATACATTCTTGGAATGTAAAATCTGTATAGATAGATAAAGATGAATGTTAAATGGTTTTAAATTCTTTTACATGAATTAAAAATATCATGAAAAGGGTCAAGATACAAGATTACTTTGAAGGATTCTTAGCATTGTCACATGACACCATTTTGAGTTTGTCTCAAAATGACCTAGCATATAGGTTTGAGCTAGATGAAGTGATTTATATTCTATTTTCTTGGAAAATGAATCCATCATTTAGTTCATATTATGCACAAGACTAGGTATATGATCATGCTATGAATATCATGAGATACAAAATGAATACATGGTTAAGACATTGGATGACTATAAGAACATTCTAGCAGTACTTAAGAAGAACTAAGAGAATGTACATGAGATAATCATTTTAGAAAAAAGATCTTTATGTAAAGAGCTACATAAAATGTTGACTTTAAAAGGGTATGTATAATTATGAATTATAATAGAATTATGACTTTATTATGGAATGAAGAGTAATTGACTGAGGTCCAAGCAAAACATAATAGCACAATCTACTAAATAAGAATACACTGCAACTTTAGAATCTGAAATCAAATATGATTGGATGAATGAGTTCATTGAAAAACTATGTTGATTTCTGTCATTCAAGGATCGCATATAAATCTTTTCTACTTCGAGAGTATACGTAATCAAGCTAAGAGACTCTATATCATGAAAGAACACCAAGGATGTTCTCCAAGATATTTAATTATACTGAGACTAAAGTCTAACATGGAGATGAAAGTATTCACATAATTTACACAGATTAAATTTAGTCTGGCCCATTAATAAAGTCCTTCCATTTAAGCTAAGTATGATTGGTCACACTTTAGCTATACAACTTCATTATTCTAGAAATGGTTATTTTTTATTTGGATTTAGTACTTGGATATTGGAACATTGAAACAACAATTATTACATAATGTTTTGATATAATGGGATATGATCATCACATCAATACTAATTTTGTTTTATATTAACATGTTTAATCCATGAATAATCTTATTATTCTAAAAGTTCATAGTCATTTATAATTATGGATGCATTTATGAAGTAAGACTAATATGATTTGGATTGGTTAACTCTTACCAGATGAAAGTAGGCAAGTGGTTGTAACCAAGTTTCATAGGTACTTGTCAGAGAACTAGTATTGAACAGATCCACATCAAGATCAAATCATAGATCAAAGTTATGAGTGATACTTGATTAAAAGGTACTATCTTTGTATCCTTAACACCTGAGATATATAGTGAGATTAAGTTTAGGGAGTGATATGCTTTGATATGGTCAAATGTTGATCCTTAACCGGACAGTTATAAAATCCATTTTCAGGTATGGTGTGAACTATACAAGAGGCGTATGTAGTCAAGAGTGTCCCTCTTGCGTGTTGAGAGTTAGACATCTAAAGCATGTTACCTAAAGTTGAATTTCAAAAGAGATTGATTGCGATCCAAGTCTCATGTTTAACAGGATGTTTGTGACAAAGGGATAATTGATAAACTTACCTTATACATCAGTTGAAGCTTTTAGCTTTTAGGAAATGGATGTTTATAAATGGAATTCTTTAGTGAGATGTTGCTAGACATTCGCCACTGACTATATCAATCTATGATGAGTCTTATGAAAGTGGGAGATTGAAAGATCTAGAATGCCCAATAGTTATTATAGAATGATATCGCTAATAACAAATGATCTTATAGGGTTACACCTTATAGAAAGTTACTATCAATTGATTATTTATTAGTATAATTTAATTATTAATAAATATATCAACACTTGTATTTAAATTGAAAAAAAAAATATTGTGGCAAATAATATTTTACCAACATTTTGGGAATTATTATTTCTACGAAATAATAATAAAGAGAACAAAAACAACCAAGTTTAAATATCATATGCTATGATTATTTAAGTTGTATACAAACTTTTGGGACTTTGATAGGATTCCATTCCCTTTCTTCTTCTTTCTTCCATTTAGTGCTAGAAATGAAAGTTTTAAATGTTGCTTCTCTTTAAGTATATTTTGGAATATGTCTTAAAACTTAAGAATAACATTTTACAATTGTTATACTAGCATATTTTGGTGGATTAAGTCTTGTTTGATGGATACTTCTAGAGAGCTTAATTTAAAGGTTAATGTCACACTTCATTAACTTCCAATCTCTCATTAGAATCAAAGTCTTCAAAGGTTATAACACTTAACTTTCTATGGTTGTTTTAATCTTTCTAAGTCTTGCAAAATGATCTTTTGGTGGGAATAAAAATAGTTTTATTTTATTCAAATCTAAAGTCTTTTGTTGCCCATTTTATATTGTTGAAACAATTTTTGAATAAAAACACAACACTTATTATCGAAGTTTAGCTGGTGCATTAAAATACCTCACCTTAAATAGACTAGACATTTCTTATTTTGCTCAATTGATTGCTCTTCATATGCGTGCTTCTCATACGACACATATGAATGCACTAAAACAAACAATTCACTACACTTAAAGGTACGCTCACCTACAAGTTACACCTCACTAAGTTTTACTCCACACATCTTCTTGCCTACAAATATATGAACTGGGTAGGTGTCCGGCCACATGACGATCCAATTATGGTAATTTGTTTACCTTGGTAACGATTCAATCTTGTGGTCCTCTAAAAGAGATGATACTTTATCTCTTTCTCGTGCAAAAGCCTTATAACACATAATAAAAAAAAATGGTCTCATAAGCATGTTAGTTAAGAAACCTACTCCTCGAACTTCCATATCCTCTTGCTAATGCCACCATAGTGTACTATGATAATTTCTGTGCAATATACTTATTAGGAATCGCAATCCTACAAAAATAAACAAAGACATTGAAAAGATTATTGACATTTTTTGTGAAAAAACAACAAAAGGAAAAGTTTGAGTTCTTCATATTCCTTCTTATTACCGACTAGCAGACATATTTACTAAAGGCCTCCCACAGGTTATGTTTGATGATTTTTGGGGACATTGTTAGCATGCAACAACCTCCTACTACATTTGTAGGGATTTTTAGACTACACATGTATTATATCTTATGTATGTTATGTATTTATATATCAAGATAAATCCTGGGCTATAAATAATCTCCTTATTGAAATCCTTGATTTTATATTCATACACCATTGTTTAATGATAAGAGGCATCGAGATTTCTTAAACTTTCATTTATCAATAAATCTAAGATTTTTGAAATCCATGCGTACCCATGGATCTATAAATACTGTGGAAATGTTGCGCCCTTGTTTGTACACCCCACACATAATTTCTCTACCTTTTCACTTGATGAAAATTAGATATATTTTGGAAGATTTAGCCATATAACACCCATGTCTAATATGTTCATATGGATGAATCAACTAAATTTCAAGATAAATGAAGTAAATAACCTTAAACATACGAAAGTCCTAAAATCTTACACCATGATACAAAGGAAAAAACATATTTATGGAAAACATAATGGTCTATATACATTATAAATATAAATGACAATTTGAGATTATTGCATATGTAATACTATATCTTGAAAAAATCCATAAAAATCAAACACAAACCTTAAGATCAAACCCTTTCCCATACTCATGCTGCCTAGTGTAGCTTCCAAAACTTTATACATGCAGAAGTTTAAATGGATCATTTAGTAGTAGCTAGCCCGATCATAACATCTTATGATGAACATTTAATATGTCAAAAAAATCACTTAACTCTTATACTATGTCGAGAACACAAGTGATTCAACCCATACCCTTAATCTACTATGATATGAGAACTCAATTCTAATGTTATTTTGCAGGCTGCCATTATTTCTGCCACAACGATAGTTATTTCTCTTATTGGAGTTATTATGCCCATTATTTTTGTTGCAACGAGGGGCATTGGATTCATGCCTAGTGGCATTGTTGGATGATCCCTTATAATTAGGATCTATCTATACAATACAACAGGATATATCTTATATTCAAAACTAGTCTTTATCTACTCTGTTTACATCCCCATTTGTGAAACATTTGACATAGTTTTTTAGTATTTCATTTAGCGAAATTTCAACTTTAGTCACTTGTTGATCCTAAATTATATGAAAATTGTTGATCCAAAATTATATGAAAATTGTTGTAAGGGGTGAAACCATCAATCTTTATAAATAAAATATATAGCAATGGAGTATATGAAATATTTTTGCAATTTCTTAGAACACACTGAAGAAATTACAAAGCGAAATATGAACTTGAAGAGAAGAACACATTTCAACTTATTGAATGATCTTGGAGTGTTCTAGTTTATGCACAATAATGACATATTAGATTTAGAGACCAAACTTTCAATTTCTGATAAACCAAGGGAATATTCATGTAATTTACTAAAAAGTCCGGGAAAAAATTTACATGAAGACGCGCCAGGTAGGGGTCGAACCTACGACTTTCTGCTTAGGAAACAGACGCTCTATCCACTGAGCTACAGGCGCCTTTTGATTTAATTTACGATTAGTTTAAATATCAATAATGAGAAAGCAGACCTCCAATTTCATGGATGATGCGTCAACGTTTGAATGCCAATGTGGAATTCGGTTTTTATTTCATGATTCGGTAAATTATACAGGACAAGAAGTTAACGGACCATCACTCTTCCATTAGACCTTTACTCCCCTTTATCGGTCATTATTTTAAAAAAAAAAAAAAATCTTTACGACTCTATAAATACTAACAATTTAACCTTCAATTTGACGCAACATTATATCAACTTTCTCTCCTTTAATTATTTGAACAAGCATACCTACTAGAAACATTTTTCCTTTTCATTCAGAAAAGTTCTTTTTAAAAAAAACCATCATTCTCTATAGATGTTATTCTAGACATTTACGAACCTTACTATCCTGAAATTTCTCATATACAAAAAGCCATCTATCTCACTCAAATTTTTACATTCTATCGATTCAAAGAAGGATAAATTGTGCATAATGCGGAAACATAAAACAATTCGCCTTCGATATCCTTTGTTTGGGGTGTAACACAAAATTGAACACAATTGAACGCATCTCTCCCCCAATCTTTCTTTCGTAGGTAACCTATCAAGACAAATTCTCCATACTAACACATTGACTTTTAATGGAATGAAAGTGGCAACATCAATAATAAATCTTACTTTTTCAACCACGAATTTCTTGGTATCCTCGATGTCCCAAACCCATTCTTCATCATGGTGTGCATAATAATAATAAAAACGTTACTTAGCTCTGATACCAAAATTAAAGACATGACGGAATTAATAAAGATTAAGAAAAGATTATACCTGAATGATGCGTTGGATTGTCTTGATGATGGATTATGTTGAATAATTGGATGATTATGTGGATATTTTGGATAGAACTCTACTATTCAGAAATAGACAAAAAAAATTAATAGAGGAAGAACTTTGAGATTCAACTCAAGTCTTAAACATTTAAATAACTGTTGTTCATTTCATATGGGCAAAGGCCCTATATATAGGCTCGAAGGAGCCGGTTACAATTATTGTTGCAATCGTATGATTGCAATACGACAAACATATATTTACGTTTTAGACCCCTAGACTATGGAGGGTCTTACACTTTATGTTACATCCTACCGACACTACATTATTTATATACAGACAATAATTATACAACGAAAAATAACAAATAATTACAATCCCTTCCACACTGAAAGGACGGCCCCGGTCATATTCGACGTATCCATCGCTAGTATTCGCATGTTGCTCTCCCTTTGTTTCTGAAGCTCTCTTTCAAAAGCAATTTTCAAAATCTTATCCATTCTGTCTTTTATACCCTTCATGTCGGATCTTATTTCTTTCAAATCATCTGAATCTGACGCTTTGTCTTTGCCTTTGCTTTTTGATTTGTCTCTTCCCAATGGTTGGGAAGGTGGTGAAACTGGAACAAGTTCATCTTCGTTCAGATCAAATTAAACATGAGCATCTAATGTAGTGTGGTCGAACTCAGTGGCGAATCCAGGATTCAAACTCACGGGTGTCCAGTTTAAATGCAGAAAAAACTAAAAGATCAAGAAAGTTATGTTTATCGGGCATTTTGTCAAAACTACGAAATATAGTTCTAATCAGCGACGAACACATGAATGTCTAACCTATTTTAAATTTTATATTTCATTTGGGAAAACTAATTGTTTAACAATAATAGACTTTCAACAACTATCGATAGGTTAATGATAAAAGAAACTATATAATGTTTTCTACATAATAATAATTAAAAAAGATAGGTAATGGTTGATGTATATAGGAAGAGGTAATAGGTAAATTGGTATCAGTAAAAGTCTGGTTAGTGTACCTTACTTGTGGCCTTACCTTTTCAGATTATGAGATAGCATGCAAAAATTAACAATTTCTCTAGCTTTTCGATTAGTAAGAGAAATCATACAACTTCTTTGGCCACTTTTCAAGATCAGCGACCGGAGAAGGAAGAAGAATCGAAGAAGTAGTTGTCATTATTAAGTACAAAAGGTATGGTGATAGCAGATAAACCAATAAAGCATGATTTATTGTTCCGAAAACTCCAAATCAACGAGTAGGGGATAACGACGGCCGCCGGATCCAAAGAGCAACCAAAGGAATAACATATTCTTCTTGTTTTTATTAGGGTTTTGGCTTTCTTTTTAGACTTCGTTTTTTCTTTTTTATCTCAGAATTTTGTGATAAATGTTGTGGATCTAAGTTTGATCCGAAAATTATAAGAATGGTTTCTTTTCTGTTACCGGGCTTTCTTAACTTATATACTTCCTTCACTATTCCTTTTTTTCACTTTTGATTCAATCCAAAATTACAAAGGGTGTCCGTGTAAAAATTTGAAGGGTGTCCATTTGATATATCTAATATAATCTCTCAAACAAATTTCAAATTAAGGGGTGTCCATGGACACCCTTGATTACACTGTAGAGTCGCCCCTGGTCGAACTCAAATGTTCTGTTGCGTTTTGACCCACTATCGATATGCTCGTCAGATGTTTTGCTACTCAGTCATTTTCTGTTATCTTTCAAAAAATTCCAAACTTCAAGAAACTTGAAAGCCTTCAGATTTTCTTTTTGATACACTTTCAACGCTTTCTTCAAAATCACTTCATCGCTTTCTCCACTTTTCCATTAACGTTTCATGTTGTTCCACAAGTCATTAAACAACATGACTTCTTTGTTCATCTTCCCCCATTTGGAGTACACTTGATGTTTTGAACGGTATTCTCCACAGTTCATTCCTTTATGGAACATGCGTAAAACACGAATCCAAAAGCGGTCATGCTTTTAATCTTTTCCAACCATCACATCTTCTGAAATATCGATCCAAGATTGTGCCAACACTAACGCTTCCAAAGGTTCCCAACATCTAGCCTCCGCCTTCTCTTTTCTTTTAGTTGCTGCTCGAGTGGGCTGAGTCTCTGTAACGAATTCCGGTTCAGAATCAGAAACGATCGTTTCTGGTTGTGTTTGTGTTTGTTGAACAAACTCAGGTTGAGATAAAAAATCAAATGGATTAAAATCTGGATCGAGTTGTGGTAGTGGCTGCGCTGGTTGTTGTGGAAAATACGGAAGCACACCGCCGTAGTGGTAAAACGAATGTGAGAAAATCAGTTGATCAAATGAAGGTACTGGGGTGTTCGTGTTTCTGACTGGTGTTTTTTCATTGGTAGGCCTTTTGGAAAAAGACATTTTTTCAAAAAAAAATGAATGAAAAGATTGTGAAAATATTTGTTTAAAGATGGAGTGAAGGTGGTGAATGGTTAAAATGGTAAGATGTGTGTGTGTGTGTGTGTGTGTGTGTGTGTATATATATATATATATATATATATATATATATATATATATATATATATATATATATATATATGGGAGGGTTCAATTGAGAAAAAAAAAAAGTTAAGAATGGGGGAATCATTCTCAGCCAATCATTTATTTTTGCCGCAAAAGGCTCCAACGTACTGGCGGAAATGGGAAACAAATGCACATGTGTTTTCCAACATAACATATTTCCTTAAACTATGCTAATCATTAGCTTAATATATACAAAAACATAGTTTTTTTGTTTTTTTTTTTTTAATTTTATAAATTATTTTTATCAAAAAATGATTTTAAATATACCAAAATTCATGATTTTTTATTCTCTACAAATAGACATCCATATTGATATAGTTTAAAGATAAAATAAAAATTTTATTTTTTTTTATATTTTCAGCTATCGTTATTCATAAATGAATAACAATGCATCGGGTTTTATTACAGTACATTCGTTATTCACTTATGAATAAAAAATATGATTTTTTTTTACAATTTAAGTATCATTCATATATGAATATAACATATAATAAACATATTATATTCATATTTTAATATTTGACGATAAATTCACTTGTGAATATTAACATAGTATATTCACTTGTGAATATTACATAGTATTACATGGTATATCGCATATGAATATTACAGAGTATATTCACTTATGAATTAAATGATATATTCACTTATGAATATTACACAATATATTCACATATGAATATTACAAAGTATATTCACTTATGAATATTGAAGGTATTTTCACAAATATATATAATTTTTATATGTTATTCACATATGAATAACATACAGACTTGCATATTTGTTTTGTGTTTTTAATAATCATATACTGATTCAGGTGAGAAAACATATTCATATGTGAATATAACGTGGTAATTTAGTTTATGCATTTCATCAAATAGTTGAAGTGCAAACAAGTTAACTATTTTAAAAATATCAAAAACATCAAGTTATCAATTCCAAATCATCATATACTTCCGATTTCGACTTCAGATGCGACATCCTATCTCTGATCGATTTCTCAATTTGATTTTGATTTCCGAAAATCCGATTGGGAAACTGTGAGTACCGATTCTAAGTCCCTCAATGTCGACTGTGATTGCGAGTCCGGAACTCCGGTTCCAATTTCATAAACAGCAATTCTGGTTTAGTTGAAGAAATCCGGATGATTATTGAAGGTTGGAGGAAAATTTTTGATGATGAACGAACAGTTATCGAATTCTCTATAGTTACGTATTTGAGATTGAAGGTTATTACGATATTTACAAGTTTGCCACCATGTCTTTTATGCTTAGATTAAATAAGTGGTTGAGAATGATTATATATATATATATATATATATATATATATATATATATATATATATATATATATATATATATATATATATATATATGTTCAGGTTAATTTGATACCATTCTAATTTTATCAGACCGTGAGACCAAATCTAAAAATAATTTTAAAATGCAAAATAAATAGAAAAATCGAAAAATTCTTTTTTTAAATATTATTTTCGGAATTTGAATTAACTAAAAAAATAAAAATAAAAATAAAATAAAAATCCCCCTTTTTTTTAATACGTGAAATATTCTAAATAGAATATTACACTGACATATTCTAAAAAATAATTTTAAAATGCAAAATAAATGGAAAAATCTAAAAATTCTTTTTTTAAATATTATTTTCGGAACTTAAATTAACTAAAAAAAATCCTATTTTTTTTTAAAATACGTGAAATATTCTAAATAGAATATTACACTGTACATATTCTAAAAATAATTTTAAAATGCAAAATAAATGGAAAAATCGAAAAATTCTTTTTTTAAATATTATTTTCGGAACTTGAATTAACTAAACAAAATAAAAAAAATAAAAATAAAATAAAAAAAATGCGTCTCACGGTCTCACAAAATTAGGCCGTCTCACATGAACCTATATATATATATATATATATATATATATATATATATATATATATATATATATATATATATATATATATATATATATATATGGGAAAAGAGAATATACATTACAGTCTCACCTAAGCTTAGGTACAAAACCTCTTGAAAATACATTGTTTTACTATATAAAGATTACGGTTAATGGATTCACGATTAATACTTCAATATGTAAATTCAAGATCAACACAATAGGGTTTAGGGTTTAGAGTTTAGGGTTTAGGTTTATGTTTAGGGTTTAGGGTTAAGGTTTAGGGTTTAGGGTTTAGGGTTAGGGTTTAAAGTTTAGGATTTGGTGTTTAGATTTAGGGTTTAGATTTAGTGTTTAGGGTTTAAATTTAGGGTTTAGGTTTAGGTTTAGGGTTTAGTAATGTTCATTAGGATGAAGTAATAAACGATAATTGAGGAAAGAAAATGGAGATGATAAAACGATAATGAAAGAAAGAAATGTTATGGAAAATGATATATTTACCAAGTGAAACCAAACCGGGTATATTTAGCATGTTAAAACGACATATTTTGGAGGTTTAGTACCTAAGCTTAGGTGGAGTTGTAATGTATATTCCCTATCCCCTATATATATATATATATATATATATATATATATATATATATATATATATATATATATATATATATATATATTGAGTAATGGTAAAAAAAAAAAAAAAAATTACACGAATCTTCAGCCTTCAACAGTCAAAATTGGACAAAACTTCAAAAATGGTCCCTGTGGTTTCCAGAAATATCAAGTTTAGTCCCTAAGTTCAAAAAACCTCACAGATGGTCCCTGTGGTTTCAAAACTTTTAACAAATGGTCCCTCCGGCTCACTCCGTTAGCATTTCACCGTTAACTCATTTTTTAATAAAATATTGCAGGGGTAATTTCGTCATTTTAGTTGTAACCTCCTCTCTTTAAAAGAAATTGCATGTCCGATTTTTGGGCAAATCCTTTAGCTTCATCAGTCGATCATCTCTCCTCCTTTCCACTGTTGCTCGACAGTTGCACCCTTCACGACATCCAATCGCTTCTGATTCAAAGATGGTGACTTGCAGATGTGGGAATGAAGCAACGAAGATCACTTCATGGACGGATCGTAACCCTGGAAGGCAATTTTGGAACTGTAAAAGATGTGGTTTCATTCGATGGTCTGATCCCCCTATGTGTGCTAGGGCATTGGTGGTGATTCCAGGTTTGATAAGATCAAAGAATCGATTGGAGGAAAGGGTCGCCATTGTAACTGCACAATTGTGGAACTACCAGCTGATGTTGTTTTGTTCATGGGTGTTTTTTTTTGGTATTATTTTAATCTCTAAATATCTTCTGAAGGTTTGGATGGTAATGGAGTTTTGGTTTTTGGTTTGTAACCATTGCAGGGTTTTTTTTTTTATTTTAATCGGATAGGGGTTTTTTTGCTTTCAGTTTATGTAGGTGGTTTTGGAATTGGTGGTGTTGTATTTGGTTTATGTATCAGATTAATGTGTAATGCAGTGGTAATGGTAATGGTAATGGAATGTAGTTTGTTATAGTTCATTGTTCAATTTCTTGAATGTTTTTGAAATGTAATTGTTAAGTGTATTGTAATTGCATCTTGAAGATGGTTTTCATTTGCAATTGAAATGTACATTGTTATTAATTGATCTGTGAAGTGAGGGTAGTACACAAAACATATTAATTCATCACCAAAAAGTGCATACACACCATTACATTCAAAGTTATAAAGTTCTTAACACAACCATGATCCAAAAAGTGCATACACACCATTACATGCAAAGTTTTCAAGTTCTTAACACATCTTCAAACAAGTACACATTACATAAGTTTCTAAATACCTACAACACCAACATCCTAATAACCACTAAAAAGTCAATTTTCAGCCTCCTCCAACTTCACCACTGCCTCCCTGCCCTTTACATGTTCTGGAATTGTGCCCTTTGTTATGACACTTTGAACAAGTGACTGCCAAATATTTCCTGCTCAATCTACCAGCTTGGCTGTTTGGCTCATCAACACCCCTTCTTCTCTTCTTCTTAGGCCTCCCAACCTACACATGTTGATATACTATAGTTAAAATTGAATTCATTCCATGTTCACATGTATACTATATATTTTGTGTACTTTAAATACAAACCTGTGTCTTATGTTTTGGTGGAAGTAAAGTGAATGGGCAGTCACTTTTAGGCCACATTGTACGTCCATTCAATGGATCAATTTTGTTGAAATACATGGCTTTCCATGTTGATAACCTATAGCAAGGATGGACCCATTCATCAACATGTGGGGCATTTTCACCATTTTCAATTTTGTCCCATATAGCACAAACAGCATGTCTACATGGGAAACCTGTAATCTCCCAAAACCTACAACTGCAACTGTGATCATTCAAATTTACCACATATTGGTCTTGCCATGTGCTTGCCACTTGGTACTTCCCTGCCCCATTGTATTTAGCCACATACTTTGATGCATCAGCCTTAATCTTTTCAAACAGTGTAGTTGCAGTAGGGGTTAGAAGTCCTTCACACTTATCTATTTCCTTTTGCACCACACATAACCTCTTCATGAGATACTCTCTAATATACTCTAAGCAAGTGATAATAGGTTTATCCCTACCTTCATCTAGCTTTGAATTGAATACCTCACAAAGGTTATTCAACAAACAATCAGTATGTGCCCTTCCTGAATAATATATATTAACAGAAGACAATTACACATATAGTAAACACACAAAAGGGAAGATTAACAATTCTCAATAAATTTCTAGAAACTTACCACTAAAGTGAGATTTAGCCCAAGTGTTTGCTGGGATCTTAGACACCCAAGCATGAGCCTCTGCATTGATCTTCTTCAACTCATCCATTGCTCTGTTAAAATGATTGACTGTTGTTGCTCTACCACACTCCCAAAGCTGGTCACTTAAGTCTTTTCCTTTCCATTGCTTCTTCATGTTTTCCTGGATATGCCTCAAACAGAACCTGTGTTCTGCACTAGGGAATACTTTCTCCATTGCTGGTATTATTCCCTAAACAAAAGTCAATGTAATCAACATTAGTTAACCAAATGTATTTAGTAAAGGTAATAAAAAAGTTAGGTGGTACACACCTTTTGTCTATCTGAAATGAAGGTAAAGTTTGAATTTGGTCCCAGATCCAGATCTTCTCCTAACAGTTCCAAGAACCAGGTCCAGCTACTTGTTGATTCTGTCTCTACCACTGCATATGCTACAGGGTATATGCCATTGTTTGAGTCCAACCCTACAGCAGTTAACACTTGCCCAGGGTAAGGGCCCTTCATGAAAGTACCATCCAGACCTAGAAAATCTCTTAATCCAGATTTGAATCCTAACTTCAATGCACCTAAACAGACATATATTCTTCTAAAAGTTCTTGTGGTAACAGACAGGGAGGTTTCTGGATACACATCAATCCTAACTGTTGTACCAGGATTAGTGTTGAGTAGCTCCAACACATAATCCCTCAAAAATCCATACTGTACTTGGTAGTCCCCACTAATGATACGCTCAGCCATTGACTTTGCCCTAGCGACCTTTTGCAATGACATTCCTACCTCCAGTTTCTTGCACAACTCTTCGTGTAAAGCTTTCACTGGAATTTTAGGGTTACTCTGTATTTGTTGAACAATTAAGTTTGCTACGTATCTGGAAGTGCAAGCTTTAACCGCCCTTGTTTGCAAACATTTATGCTCATCCTGTACCGTTTTCACCAACCAATCCTGATTTTCATTAGCCCTCGATATTTGGACTGCCCATGGACATGTACCTTTATTGGCAATTACATCTTTACCCTTGCACTTTGCCCTACTTCTGGTTGAGGGCCCACCACTATCAACTCCTGTAGAAGGCTTACTTACAACACCTTTACATTTCACCCTAATCCGGATTTTGTCATTTTTGGCTAGGTATAAAGACCTCCTTGTTGCTACAGCATGTGAGTTCATGTAGTTTTTAACATCAACCTTGGTTTTGAAGACCTGACCAATCTGAAATGGTTTAACATGAACCTCTCCATGTGAGCATGTACTTGACTTACTCAACTCTTTTAGCAGTCTCTTCCTATCATCTTCATGAAATCCTGCAAATTGATAATCATCAGTGGCAATAACTTCCAACTCATTATCAAAGTCAACCACTCCAATCCCATCATCTTTTGAATGATTGTTCAAGATTCCATGTTCATCTACATCAACAGCATTATGGAATTCACTCATGTCTACATCTACATCAAATTGTATGTTAGACTCATCCACATTGTATTCACTGTCATCAGAATCATCTCCACTATCCTCAGAACCATGGCCACTCTCAGAGTAGAAAGCATCTCCACTATCATCACTCACCATACCCTCTAGATAATCCACTTCTGGTTGTTTTTCAAATGAAGTTTGAACATTAAACTCAGCATCATAATCAGCATAAAGTGAGTAATCCTCTACAAATGGTTCATAGTCATCAACTGTTGTAGTATTAGCTCCATTATCAGCTTGGCAGCTTGGTTCCTGTACATGGTAAGTTCCCAATTGTTCTTCAGTTTCAACTGCACTAGTGATCACTTCTTCTTGAGTTTCAATTTCATGATTCACCACTTCCTTTTGAATGACATGACTTTCTTTACCTTGTGACCTTATAAATGGTACAATACTCTTTGAGTAATCATGGCCTTCATCAACATCTAACACTTGTGACTGCTCATAATCAGGGTTCATAGACTTGTTTAGATCAAGCTTTCTACTACATGAGCCTGCTTCTCTCCTACAAGGTTTCTTTCTATTCATTTCAGGTGACACACTATCAGGCTCCAACTCTTCAATAACAACTTTAGAAGGAGACTTGTAATAACTACCTACCCTTGTCTGACCAGTTTCAATATACACCCTAATAAGTCTGTGTTTAGGGACATATGATACCATTTTAAGTACATCTTGATCATTACCTAAAGGCATTAAGCCATAGTCCAAAGGGTATTCAGGGATACAGAAATGGTAGTAAAGGGTTTGCTCAGTTTTGTACCCTAGTTCTCGAACCATGTCGTCAAGATCATGAACTGAAAATAAATCAGTGTCAACATAATCTACATATGCTACAACACCATCAACGTATTTCCTTCCAGGTGCTTTGGTGAAGACACCACTGTAGTGTATCTTCAACGTGAAATAGTTCTCATAACCTTCTGTAAACACAAAAAAAAGAAAGAGTAAAATCAATGATTTCCTTACGTCAACACAATAGACCAAGAAAAAACAAGTTTTGTTGTAGTATTGTACCGTATGTTTTTCCTAAGTCCTCCATGGTTACAAATTTTTCTCGAAAACACCATATTGATAGCACCATTGCAATTTCTGCAGCTTAAAACCCTAAATCCCAATTTCTGTTCTTGCTTCTTCGATGGGAATGAGCCCGATGACTAAACCTGTAACTGGTTATCTTCTTGGGAGAGGGACGGGTAGTGATGTGCAAGCAAGTAATCATTTCATATTAAAGAGAGGAGGTTACAACTGAAATGACGAAATTACCCCTACAATATTTTATTAAAAAATGAGTTAACGGTGAAATGCTAACGGAGTGAGCCGGAGGGACCATTTGTTAAAAGTTTTGAAACCACAGGGACCATCTGTGAGGTTTTTTGAACTTAGGGACTAAACTTGATATTTCTGGAAACCACAGGGACCATTTTTGAAGTTTTGTCGTCAAAATTGACCAACCATCAATGGCCGCAAGAAACCGTGCCCTGGGGTGGTGTTCCAGATCTACGTGGCAGAAAACGCGGTTTCAAACCGCACCCACACCGATGAGCCTAATGAATTGAACAAAAATGTTCCAAGTCAACCAACATTTACAAATACATTTCACTACAAGTCAACTTCCATCCGTGTAAATGAATTTACCATTTCGCCCCTCCCACTTTTCCCAAATTGCCCTCGAAGTTGTTCATTAACCCAAACCGCTAACGAAACCGCATGATCCCTTATAAAAGAATTAGCGGCCGGGCATTTCAACATATCAATCAAACCCCGATTAAACTGCAACAAGCTGACCGAAGGACTGCCCGAACCTTTTTCCCTAAAATACCAAACAACCTTAAAAACATGCTCACACAAATTACCTTTTTGCCCCCACCCACAACTACAAATACCAAACTCCGACCCCGGGTTCCACACAACATGTGTTATTTCTCGGTCTTTTTGGTCAACAACTTTGACCGTTTGACCTTCGGTCAAAACATCCGTGTCTGGGATTTCCCGTGATTTGCGCCATGCGGTTAAACCGCTTGTCCATTCGTCTTTCCAGTAACGTGAAAAGTCGTCCTTGCCCTCGTATTCATCGAGCCAAAAGTAGGCTTGGATTTTGGTTGCGAGTTTATCGAGTAACCAATCGACCCGTTTGTAGATAAACGGGTCGGGTTCATTTAGTAAACGGATCTTTAATTGGTTGTGATGAAATTCAAGAGTTGATGATGTTTCTTGGCTTGAAACAGCTAGGGTTTTCAAGGCATTGATCCAAGGGCCTAATTGGAACAAAAATTAAAGATTAAACAGAAGAAATAACAAAAATACTTTTTTTTATTGTAATTTTGCTCTAAAATATACTATAAATGATTATTAAATTACGCTTACCCATTCTAGGGCACCAAGTTGCCTTGAAGTAATCCATGAAATCTCGACATTCCTTAAAATCTTCCATAAAATTATCAAAAGATTCAACGTTCCCACATCCACTACACATCTCTTTGACTATTTGACCAAGCGTTTTTGACAATTTTGCCCTTGTCTCCATATCCAAACACCTCTTCGTTAAATTCTTATGCCACGCATGTCGAACCCTCCAAAATGAAATCAACACAGAGCATTGAAACACTTCCCTGATATCATCAAATCCAATATTTAACATCCAATTTTTTTTTTTTGTTAAACATTCACATATTTTGTTATTGATTAATAGTCAAACCTTATAGTGAGTATATCAAACAAAGGATCATCGATTATAAATCCAGCTAATTTCCACGTTGGATCTTTTGTCCTTACTCTATTAAAAAGAGCTCTCATCCATTTATGAGTATCAATTGATCTTGAAAAAACCGGTGTTATTATCCATGCAACAGGTATTGCTTTATTCTCTGAGTTGAACACAACAAGACTTTGGATTGGACACTGCATTAAGTTTATAAAAAAATTATATTTTATAAACAATTAGACATACCTTTAATTTATTAACACCAAAACTCGAATCAAAACCAAGTAAACGTCCATTACCAAAACGAATCATTTGTTGCAATTGCCACTCAGTTTGAATCCCTAAACAAAACGGATCATTATCCGAATAATCCTCATAAAAAAACACATGATTTTGATTTCTCTCAACCCATAACCCAATGCTGACATCATCATCTTCATCAAGTTCAAAATTGGATCTTCTAATATTCCTTTCTTGAATCCTCACATACCTATGTGTCAAAAGATCATCTCTATTGCAAACACCTCCTTGTTTTTCAACAGATTCATTGTGTCTTTCCATGATTGTTTCAACTGGGATGCCTACGTGGAGTAAAGAAAGGACACGTAGGCGGAGGTCTTCTGAGATGAATGGCGCATACATGGCACGTTTCCCCACAGATTTCTTGTCTTGTGGGCCATGACATGGAAGGCCTTTTTTGTCCACGTGTTTGTCTTGGTTGTAGATGATTAGGGCTACAGATGGCTCTGCTATTAGGTGTTTGACTATGAAGTGACATGTGCAGCCCCGTTTTGTGTTGGGTCGACCCGCGGATTTCTTTTTTGGTATGTATGTGCTTCTACTTGGTCTTACTACTCCCCCTTTTCTATGATCATCTGGACCAAATGAACACCAATACCTAGAAAGGGTAAAATGGTCATTTACTCGGATTCATACATGTCATTCAATTCAAGTGAAAAAGAAACAATCTTTATCATACCCATGTTGAGATTTGACTCTTTTTGGGTTGTAAAAGATGAGAAACTTACAGAATGTATTCAAGAATGCCATCAACTTTAGGTTTGTAAGGCATTTTGGGAGGGCGTCTTCTTCTAGCTTCTACATGAAATCTTGTGGGACAATCTTTGTTGTTGGATTCACCACGAATAAAGTCATCAACTCTAGCAAAGGGCACAAGGGCAAGTCTGTCCATATTGTCACGATGCCCTTCTATCTTTGACCATATAAGGTCAAATGCTGAGAATTCTAAAGTTGGAGGGTTTTGAACAGGGAGTGATAAAATCTCATCCCATCTTGCCATCTATATCAGAACTCAAATCAGCTCAGATTGAATCAAATTCATTATAAATCAAAGCTCAAATCATCTCAAATTTGACTGAATATGATCATGCGTATAGGTCGTTGTATAGTTGGATTCAAATTTGACTGAATATGATCATGTGCATCGAGTCAGCCAAAAAAAAAATCTTACCTAGAGACCGGTATGCAGGTCGCTGGAGAGCAAATCGTTGGATTCAAAGTGCAGGTCGCTAGCTCGCTGCTTGCTATTGCCGGTGCGAACGAGCTGCGAAGGGTCGACAACGTGACTGTCTTAGACAACGATCGAGAGAAGAGAACACACACAGAGGAAATTTTTATTAGTTTTGGATGTCAGCTGGAAGAGAAAGGATGGTGTCGTGTGATTTTAGGGTTAGAGTTTTGAGACTGAAATGGTATTTTTGTTCCCCCACTTCCGAATTTCTTTTCAGATTTCTTCTAATTTCTTTGACAAAATTGCAAGAATGGTGTTGTATTATGTCAAAACTAGTAATTTTGGTTTAAAATGGGTTTATCTCGTGGTTCAATAGTTTCATTTCCTTGCAAGTTTATACCAATTTGGTTTGATTTTTTTTTAAAGATGAATTTGCCCTTATTGTTTAATTTTTCATTTTTGTTTTATTACATGTAATTAAAAAACAATTAAAAGTATAACATAAATAAAATACCTCTCTCTCTCTCTCTCTCTCTCTCTCTCTCTCTCTCTCTCTCTCTCTCTCTCTCTCTCTCTCTCCAAGAATCGACCTATTCATCTTCTTCCCACACTTCCATTTTCTCTTAGATGTGCTCAATCTTTGTTAAACAGAAAAATGCACATCCACCGGAGACACGTCTTTTATCCTCTAATCTGCCATCTCTGTCTTCTTAGTTGACCACCAAGCACTCATTACTCTAAAATTTGTCATCTCTATCGAAGCTTTCCTAAACGATCAAGGTGAAATCCAGATTTGTTCATTCGACGAAGTCGATGGAGCTGTCCACCACTAGAGACGTCCCTCTGCCTTCTCCGACGAAGGCTTTTCTGATGGTGCCATATTTGTTCGATCTACATTTATGAAGGGTTGTAGCTCCGATATCCGATCTACGTTTCCGTATCTTTTCGTCTTCTCCTGTGTCTCTTCAAATCCCTCTACCGACTTCAGGTGGTGGTGGTTATGCTTCAGGCAGCGGTTTCTAGAGCCATAACTCTCCTTATGGATTTCATTGACTGTTTATCTCTCTCCTAAGCTTTCGCGTTCTAAGAGGGTCGGAAATCCCCAACTGTGTTCGTCTGGTGGCTATCTTGAGTAAATGGGCCGCAGAAAACAACTAAAATCGTGATCTAGGGTTAAGATTTGTTATTGCTGTGTTTGTTATGTTTCTTTCCTTCTTCTTCTTCTATCTAGATTGTAGTTGTTGGGTTTGTTTGAAATATTTTTTGATGTCGATTCAGGTGGTGGTGAAGGGCAGTTCATCAGATCAGTAAAAATGATTTATGGGTTTGTGAATGATTTATGGGTTTGTGAGTGTGATGTTCGTGTTCTTGAACTCAGAAAAAATGAGTGTTCTTGCGATCATATCCATATTTGTGTGTGTATGTTTTTAGTTCTAATCGACTTCACAGCTAATGAGATTGAACTTTGTTTCCGTTGTTTAAATCAAATTAATCTTGATGTATGTGTAACTATGTATGTGTGTGTTTAGAGTCTGGAACATTTGTAAACTTAATCTAATAAATTGAACAAAATTGATAAAAGTGAAGGTTCTTCGTTTTGCAAATCCACTTCCAGATATGTGTTAAATTTGTTTGTGTTTCATTTCAAATCTAAAATCAAGAACGAAGAACACCCATTATGGATTTGGATTTTGGATGTTGGATGGTGGTGGGTCGCGATAGGGGAGGCGGAGGAGCTGCCACAGTCGACTGTGGTGGCTCTCTTCGCCGGTGAAGTGAGAAATGAGGGAGATAAACGAGTTGGAGATGAAAGGGAGGTCGAAGGGGGGGAGAGAGTGTGAGAGAGAGAGAGAGAGAGAGAAAGAGAGAGAATTTTTTTTCTTCTTTTGATATCTATAATAAAAAAATTGAAAAGGGGAAAATACCAAGGACAAATCTTTCATTATAAAAAGTTGTAAAATTTTTAGACTAAACTCGCAACAAAATGAAACTATTGGACCATCCTTGCGAGCCAAACCCATTTTGGACCAAAATTGCTAGTTTTGACATACCATAGCGACCATTCTTGCAATTTTGTCTTTCTCCAATTGTAATATATATATATATATATATATATGAAAAAACATCATAAATGGTCCCTGTGGTTTCCCAAAATCTGAAGTTTAGTCCTTGTGGTTTGAAAACGTCATAGATGGTCCATGTGCTTTCAAAAAATTTGACGATTGGTCCTTATTGTTAACTCCGTTAGGTGAAAGGTGTTTTTGTCATTTCACAACCATAGGGACCATTTATGATGTTTTCCTATACTTTTAAATATATATATATATATATATATATATATATATATAATCGTCTCTCTCTCTCTCTCTCTCTCTCTCTCTCTCTCTCGTTTTGACCTCTGGTGATGGAAGGGAATAAGGAACCAACGATTTCACAAATTCTCACCCTCCTCCTGTCGAAGCACCACCTAAACACCCTTAGTAGTTTCTATTCCCGATTCCACTCTCCTTTTTTTCTTCCTTGACTCACAAGAAAAACGAAACAAAGGAAGTGGGTTGTTGCCTCCATTCCAGCCACCCCTCCTCCGGCTACTAAGAAATCCCACGAAACGCCCACCTACTGTCATTTTCGTTGTCCTTCTTTTTTTAGTCAAATCTAGTGTCGATGGTGCTCTACATTTGTCGACTGTTGCTATTGTTTCCCTTTTCAGTTCAATTGTTGCCGGAGACAAGTTTGAAGAAGCCAAGAGGATTGCTGGAAAAATGGGCTCCCCTTCATCGTGATTCCTCAACCACCATGGATCTACCCCTGTTGTTGCTTCTGATTCTGTTATTCTTCTTGATTCGTCGTAAGGAGATGTTCAGATATCGATGACGACTTCGTCTTCAATTAGGGTTTTCATCTTAACTCTTCAGTTAGTGTTTTCTGCTTCAAATTTGTTCATTGATCAGCAGATTTTTTGGTTTCTTAAGCTCTAAAAAATGTTTTATGTTGCTGGAATCGGGTTAGAAAACACACACATATAAACGTTTTTGTTCATGAAATCATCGATTCTGTTGTGTTTTTAATGTTGTATGTATGAGAGAGATGGAGTGTAATGATTGATTTTTGATTCTCAGATTACAAGAACACATACATTTTGTAGTTTTATCTCCGGATCGAATTTTCTAAAATCGGAGCATCAAAGAAATGGATTTGGAACACACACAAAATTACAATAACAAATACAAAAAATATGGAACATAACCACATACAAATACAAAATCTGAACTCAAGAACTCAAATTTCTAATTTTTTGTAAGCAAGAACAAGTTTAGGTTGTAGCGTACAACCTGTTAAAGCTTTTTCAGATCTCTAGAGAGAGAGAGAGAGAGAGAGAGAGAGAGAGAGAGAGAGAGAGAGAGAGAGAGAGAGAGAGAGAGCTTTTCCATATTTAATCTTATCTTTTTAAAAAATATATATATAAGAAAACATCATAAATGGTCCCTGTGGTGGTAAAATGACGAAAATGCCCTTTAACTAACGGACAGAACTTAACAGATTTAGCAATAAGGACCAATCGTCAATAGTTTTGAAAGCACAGGGAACATCTATGACGTTTTTAAACCATTAAACCATGGGGACTAAACTTCAGATTTTGGGAAACCACATGACCATTTATGATGTATTTATACACACTTTAATTTTATTAAATTATCAAATATATAATTATATATATAATTTTGATTATATAATAAATTTTGCGGTTCGGTTTCGTTAAATATGCACGGTTTTTCAAGCTAAACCGTACCGCACCATGCTTTACAGTTGCAGTATTTACGGTTTCAGTATTTTGTGGTTTTGCGGTAGCGGTAAATGCAGTTTTTTGCGCGGTTTCAGTTTTCGGTTCAGTTTTTGCCGACCCCTACAAAAAAACATAGAAAAGCAAAATGAAGATTTTTTTCCCTATCCAGAGATCATACTTTTTATTTTAGATTTACGTTTTTTCATTAAAAAAGTTCCATTAAAAAACTGACCTATGATTGCATATATGTGAATTTATTTGGTGTAAATGTGAAAGTAACATAATAAAATTTTAGTCATTCTCCGATTTGGTCAATGTTTTTTTTTCTTCACAATAAAGCATTAAAATTATTACTAACATATCGATTAAACCCCTTTGCTCAATTTAAGACGCCCAATTCACCCTATGTTGCATTTTTGTACAACATTTCAATGTTTTTTTCTATTAAACTGAATTTTCAAATTAGTGATCACCGTACAACGAGTGAGAAGGCAAATGAGCAACAAGTTGCATTGCTAAGCGTTTTATTTGGTAAAACCAATTCTTTTGAATCCACGTCGCAATAAATCATCTCCAACTAGTTAAGCCCACCTTCTTCTTCATTGTTCCAAATGCGAAAGAGCAGAAAACGAAAAAATGAGCACTTAAGGGTGCGTTTAGTTGCGGAAAAATGAGCCATTTTCTGGAAAAAATTTCCAAGAAAAATGAGAATTTTGAAAACGCGTTTAGTTCGTCTATTTTTCTAAAATTTTCACGGAAAATGAAAATTTTTCGTTTTCTAAAATTACAAAGAAGTTGGAAAATTTTGGAAAACTGATAATCATTGTTTTCCACATTTTTCTAATTCCAATTTTTTTTTATAAACACACACACACATACATACCCCCCCCCCACACACACACCAACCCACACACAAACACACACTCACACCCACAACACACACACATACATACCCCCCCCACACACACACACATACACCCACAAACACACACACACATACATACCCACCCACACACACACACCAACCCACAAACACACACCCACATATATACCCACCCATACACACACACACACCCCCGCACACACACCCACACCTATCCCCACCCCCACCCTCACAGACACATACACCCCCACACACAAACCTACACCTACCCCCACAAACACACACTCGCACCCCCACCAACCCAACACCACCATGACAATCACCGACCTACCATCACCACCACTAACTCGTCACTAGCACCACCACCACCGCTACCGCTACCATCACCACCACTGACACAATTGTTGCCGCCACCACCATCGCCTGTCATCACCACCACCGTCGCCGACCCGCTACCGTCACCGCCCCCACCCACACCCTACCACCGCTACCGTTTTTTAAAAATGAAAACCAATAGAAAAATACACATCTAAACACGTTTTCTAATTTTCTAAAACTAAAAATGAAAAATGAATAAGTTTAACTAAACGCGTTTTCTAAATTTTTCAATGAAAAATG